CCATTGGCATCCGTCAGGGTCGCCGCATCGGGCGCCGTTGTTGCTGTGGTCGTCGTCGGCGCTGCATCGCTTTCTTGCGTACCCGTCACGCTGTGACTCTTCGACAGTTTCTTCAAGCGACGCATACAAACTATTTATTTCTACACGCGGGCAACACGTATTTTATTTGCTTTATTTACAAATTTTACGTTATTTATTGAACAATTTGACAAATTTTCACACTTTTCTCCGCCTTTTCGAGTGTGAGAGATGTGTCTGAAAAATTTGTCTATCGATAACTGAATATCGAACTAGGGATACAGTGCACGTTTTTAACAGGGCTACCACTAGAAAGTCGAACGGTTGCTTAAGACTGGTATGCTGTTAATAAAACAATGAAATGTAAGTACTTCAGACGGCGCCAAAAGGTTTTTTTGAAATTTCTGGAGAAAAACATAAGAGATAGCATATTATTGGAATAATGCAATATAGTCAGAACGAAAACTGGAGCAAACTGTACTCAGGCAAAAGGAGAATAAACAATTTTACGACACATGAGTTTATTAAAAATTTGATATTCAGAATTGAAAGTGCTTAAGATGTGATAAATTGTTACATATTTTCTTGCTATCGACGTAGACAATGTTTGTGAGCAATTTTCGCAATACATTATTTGTATATTATTTAGTTACAGGTCCTCTAGAAACGTGGCTTGAAAGTAGCCGGAAATTGATTGAAACGCGGACGCAGTGCAGCATTGGATTTTTCGAACTTCTCGCCCGTGTGACCCAATATGATGCCGTCTGTTGCCTTTCCGCCATCCTTGTAGCTGGGTTGGGTAGAGTTGGCTTCAGCAACGTCGATAATGCGGGGATTCTTGCGATATCTGTACCACCAGTACTCAAAGACAAGCGTAATGCAGGCCATGCCAATGCCCACAAAGATGACAATAAAAACGCCACCAATATTCTGAATGGATATGCCGTCTGATTGATCCTCCGGCTTCTCACAGCTGGCCTGTGCCTCATCGTTCTTCCACCACTTTTCCTTGAGCTTCTCCAGTTGACGCTTGTTCAGCAAAGTTAAAATACTACAAAATATGCATTAGCTTAGACTTCTAAAATCATCAGACCTGACTTACGCATTATTAAATTGATCCTTGAGATGCGAGCCTTGCTGTACCGCAATGGCGTAGGGCTTGCGAGAGAACTCCTCACCAACCACCTGTAGATCACAATTGGTCAGCTGTAGATAGCGTATGTCCGTTGCATCACCCAGAAATGCAAAACCCGTTGCGCTTGAGGAGTTGCGCACACGCGCCACAGCTTCGTCCAGTGTAGCCGGCAGACCCGCCTCCTGCATAGCCTGCCACATCTTCGTATACTTATCGCTGACCGGATAATCCCAAACGGCTAGCTTAGAGCGCTCCAGCGGTGTCAACGAATCATTCAGTGACAAATCCTTCCAAATTTCATAAAACATTTGTTCGATGTTGGCCATGCGTTCGAAGTATGTCATTGCAGCGGAACCATTCAGAGGAGCATAGAGAATCTTGTACTGCTTGGCCAAATCATCCAGGGACTCAACAGGTGTGTCCAAACGGGAAACAGTCAAAAAGGCAGCCAAATTGGCCGTGTAGGAGGCAATAATGATGAAGCTAAATGACAATAGATAGCATTTATAGTTATCCAATTTATCTTCACTCCAAACTTGATACCCACCCAAAGAGCCACCATGTGGCGGCAACTAGACGACCGGATAGGTTCTTGGGCGCCTCACCGCCGCCCTGAGGTGTCAGCGAAGTCATGCAGAACCACAGGCACTCCTTCAAATTGAATTCACGCTTCTCCTCGTCGTCCTTGTATTTCTCGCGATTGTTCTGATAGCTGTACGGACTCCAGCGATCGAAGACCCACATCAGAAAGCTGGTAAAGAAATAGGCAGCCAATATGCACAGCCAGACATTTGTCTCCAGCACAGTTAGAAATTTGAACAGCGAGCTAGGCGAGCTGGGACGCTGCATCATAATGGTGATGCCCACCAGATCGTAATAGGGCACCGTAAAATCAATCACGATCTCACGCTCCGCCATCACCGACATGCTGCCTAGGCCAATGTCCGCCTGTTTGTCGATCAGCTTCTTAACAATGCCATTCCATTCGCCCTTCTCATCCATATTGCCAAATTTACCGTCCTCCACCTCTTGAATCTCATAGTCGAAGTGCACAATGGCAGCGATCTCATTGATTAGATCAATGCAATAGCCCTTATAGCCCTTGGGTGCGGTCTCATCGCGCATTATAAAGGGGGCTTGCTGCGAATATTAGATCAGGTCAATCGATCTTTAGTTAAGACTATTCATTATTAAATAGAAAGTTTTCGTAATTAATAGCTTTAGTCAAATGCTTATTAGTCACTTTCCCAGGTCTTGTCATTTGAACTTTGCGTGCTGTGTCACTCATCAATCAATCAATCAATCAGTCATAAACAATCATATATTGCTAGTCCCGCATATAACTTACCACAACGGTGTAAATGCGATAGACCGTATCTGCGGTCAGATTCTTCATTTGCTCCTCATCCTTGACGACCAGCGGCGAGTCGAGGCCAGCTGTCCAGGTGCCGATTGACTTGCTATTGACAGAGCTGCCACCACGTATCTGGAGCACATTGATATCCATTTCAAACTTCATGTAGCTGAAGCCATTAAATGTCTGGCCCGGTTGCGTGACCAGCTCGAAAGTGCCATAGGATGTGGGTTCGGTAACCTTTGAACGTGCCCAAAAACAAAAATCACACAAATTTTGTAAACAATCATTATTGTCATAATTAGCGTTGGGGAAATAGTAAACACACCTGTATAAAGTATTGCCTAAGATCAATATTACGCTCAGGTGTATTGCCGCCTTGAAAGTCATCGCACTTCAGATACTCCATGTCCTTTGGCCAGGCGCCCGAGTGCAGCATTTCCCTAGCAAGCACAAAGAAAATAAATTTACTTAGGGAATCCCCAACCATCCAGAAGTAATCAACTCTGCTTTGGCCCCAAAAATCTCAACCTTCTCTTCTTCTTCGCCTCATCACTTACTTGATGGCCAAGAAGCTGCGCAAGGCCAAATCAAAGTAGAAGGCCGATGTCAGCTTCGGCTCCTCGTTCAAGTTGAATGTGGAGTAGAGCAGGCCGAGACGATCGCGATATTGCGCATACGCCATGGGTTTCAAGAACATAATCGTTGCATTGTCACGCTTACTCCTCAGCTCACCCTCGTGCTGAGTGATCGCATGCCAGGCAAAGTTGCGTGCAAAATACGCTGGCTTCACAGACTCCAACACCATGCCAATGGACTCCAAATTGCCCAGTACAAAAAAGTTATTAATGTCCAAATTGCGCAGCTTCTCGATCTGTTCCTCGCGCTCCCGTTTCCCATCCTTGGCAATGGCCGTGATGACATGACGCGTCTGGATGTTCTGCAGCAACGATTTGTACTTGTGATCCATGACAAAGGTGTCATCGTAGAGTATAGCAGCTGAGGAGAGAGTGAAGTTAAACTGGAATATTGTGGCTTATGATTCCTATATAAATTCCGAAATTGATATTTCAGGATATGAAGGATCAGTGTTTTATGTAGTAAGAGAACTAGGCAAAACAGATTTGATACATAAGGCATCTATAAGATATAGCTTAAGCAAACGCGTATTTACATTTAGTGTATTCACTAGTCGATCATACCCCACACTTACCATTGGTTATGTTCAGCCGCTTGACAATACTTCTCACTGCTTCTGGCATAATGTCAGCCGGTGGCATTATCTGCAGCAGATACTTTTGCTTCGATTCATCCAGATCCCGCCATTGTCTCAGATCACCCTCCTGTCCATAGGAGGCGCTAATTGTGGGCAGGCCCAGGGCCTGCGTGAAACTCTTGACCGTCTCCGAGGATACGCCCGACTTGGTGGTGTCCAATATAAGATGCGGCGTTTGCTTTCGCTCAATGCTGGCCACATACTTGTTGCAAACTGTGATTTATACGATGATATATATGTATGTTGTATGTAAATACATATATGAATAGGTAGATCGAAGATAGAAACCTACTTGCTTCCAGTAAGATTTTAGCATCCGTTTTATTCGCCTCAATGGACTCAATTTGCACCGATAAACCGTAGCTGGGATTCTTTTTCAAATAGGTAAGCACCACCTCGACGGCCTTGGCCGCTGGCTCATTATCCACTTCGTTTATAAAAACTATTAGAGGACACGACATTAGTTCGCTGTTTGCATAGCCGACCCAACTCTCCCAACTCAACGCCCACTCCCACTACCACTGTCATTCTCAGACCAATTCAGCCAATCGCACACTTTCAGCTTAATTAGTTTACCTAAGAGCCCAGTGCGCTATCTATTCTTATTCCATCTATCGATTTGCCACTTACACACATTGATATTCTGCGTGTTCTGAGCTGCAATTTCCATTTGCAGCAACGTCCACGCTAACCACAGATGTTTTAAAGCCGCTATATGTCTGCCCATAACTATTTTCCGTTAGAGCAGAAGGTCTTAACATTGACCGCACTACACGAACTGCAATTGACAACTGACGACAGGGGCTGCCAGGCCAGGCAGCGATTCGAATGTGTGGACACACACGTGTCTCCTTGGTGATAATCAATTTGGTTGGCTACCCTGCTGACCGCATAATCCATTGTTTGGTGCGCTAATTGGAAACGCCCTCCACCCGATTGGAACCGGATGTGGGTCAGCAGGTGGAGTAATTGTCACAGAGAACCCTTTCACTGACAGTCTAATACGTGGCCTTGAATTTCTGAATGTCTTTGATACAATCTTTTAAAATATACAGATTTAATTTGATGTTGCGAATCAATTAAGAAATCTCAAATATATCCCATAAATAAAAAATTACAAAACAAATTAATGAAACACATTCTCAAGGCAATACATTTCTTTCATCTATATACATAAATTCATATGAAAAACTATATATTATATTAAACACAATTGATTTTAGATTTTGGAATTTACAAAAAATTTTATTACATTTAAATATGAAACGTTTGAATGCCCAGTCAGATAAAAAATACCCTTAACACCCTGCTCAGTCAATCACGCAGCAGCGGATTGGGCGCCCTAGTAGATACGAGTACATACACTATATTAGATACATAGCTCCTAGTTGTGGCAACCCACGACTAGTGTGCATTGTCATTATGCTTAAACTTAAATTTAATTTTAACATACACAGTTCGATTGCAGTACATGAATATACATTTATATACATACATATATGCTAAAGCCTATGCTTAACAAACTATATGTATATATCTCTGTGTTTGTGTGTGTGAGTGTATGTGTGTTCTTCTGTGTGTACATATATGCATAAAAATCTCACAAATTCCAGTCATCTGGACCCGACTCCTCGCGCACAACCACAGGCGTGCGGGGCGCATCGGGAACAGGTATGGGCACGAGGGGCACGTTGCTGTGCATGCCGCCAAAGAATGGAGGCGGCCTATAGCTATTTGGCGTGGCAGCACTCGAGCTATGCGTCGACGAGGCCGAAGAGTCACGCACTCGAGCTGCATCAAAGGCAGGCGGCTGAGCGTAACGATAATGCGGCTGCCCGAGCTGCGGTGTGCGGGAACGCGAATGCGAATGTTCGCGCCGCGTCTCGTGACTCCGCTGCTGCTGTAGCAAATGCTGGTGTTTCTTCTGCTTTAGCAGCAGCTCTTCGCGACGCTGTTGCTCCAGTTGCTTGCGCTGTTGAAGCAACATTCGATTAGTTTTGCTCCACGGATTGCCGCCAAAGCACAGATTTGATATGAAAACCACCGGCGAGAAGAGCCGGAGGGAAATTTCACTGAAAGCAAAAAACATTTCTGTAAGTATTTTATAGATTTCAAGGTAAAGCATGCACTTACGTCGTATCCACAATGGGCTTGGCCTCATTGCCGCTCAGTATGAAGAGCGGAAAGAAGATGGAGAAGATGCAGCTGCTGACAATCACAGAGCTAGACATATTTGTTAGCACCGTCAGCGGTATGCCAAAGCCAAAGAAATATGGCCAATTCTTTTCGATGTAGGTGAGACGCCGGTGCAACTCCCAGCCCATGTTAAACCATTTGTACTCAAAGGAATACAGCGAGTAGAGGAGGCACAAATGCAGAAAGCATAACGAAGAGCCAACATATTTGACTGGCACCAAATTCACCAGCATGCTCTGCACAAGGAACAAGATTTGCACCACCATGCTGAAGAGGAAATCGGCCACCAATTTACTTATGCCGGGTATTAATTGGGGGCGTCCTTTGCGCACGCGATACGCCGCATTCGCAATGTCTGCAAACCATAGAGAACTGACAATCTTCGAAAGCATGAATATCGGCAGCACCCACATCATGCCAAAGATCAGCGACAGGATGGGATGCAGCCAGCTCCAGACAAAAGGTAGCGTATCCGACTGCGCGCCATAGAAGATGGTGAGGCAGAATTTGAGAGTGGGTAGAAGCACATTCTCGAACAGCACAATGCTTAGCCAGGTGAATCCGCCATTAAGCAGACAGCATTTTAATAATTTCTTTGCTATTTTCTTCTCGCTGCAAATAAAACGTAATGCACATAATTAATGCGTAATGGGCAATGTTTCAGTTAGGGGAAGTTGAATAATTGTTGAGCGGGAAGTCCATGCAATGCTGTTGTATGTTAAACAGCTGTTGCATGATAACTTTTTATCGATAACAGCTTTACACATTTATGTAGCAGTATCGGGTGGAGTACCCTTTATTTTTATCTACTTACGCCTGAGGCTCTGGTTCCTCTGCGGGTTTCTTTTTGAATATCTTCTCCAAAGTACGTTCATCGGAATTGGCTTCCGCCCGTTTCTCCAACTCCTGACGTGACAATGCCGCTGCCGAGCTGGGCACTGGCGAAGGCGAACGTCGCGCCTGTTTATATTGTTCCCTGTCCATTCTGCGCAGTTGGCGCATTGTCTCCAGTTCTGCATTCTGCCTGGCCACTTCATTGTCTATATGCAGAACCAGCGTCATACCGCGTATGCTGTCCCACAGGCCATACAAAATGCCCAGCGCGATGTTCTGAGTCGCAAATATGCACACATGCACAGAATAAATAAAATAGAAACATACGTATATATGTAAATTAACAAAGCACTATTCAGAAATATTTAGCAACCCACCTTTATCGCAGCCATTTCCACCTGTCTCTTGTATGTTGGATGTTTTGGTAGCTTTAGCCAACACTAATTGCAATTGTTACGACTGTTGTGAGCATTACAAAAATAGATGCGTGTTTGTATTTACAGTATATGCAGTGTTGTTTGAAACGTTTTGTTTCCGTATGAATTTACGCTGTTGCGATGACATTATTTCATAGTAACACAGTTTGTAGTTTACACGATGAATAAAATAGAGAGTATATATTAACAATTTATATAATATTATGAATAACAAGAAATACTTGTTGTGTGGCTCACGGACTTTAATCTTTGATGCGAATTAAATACATGAACATTGTTTATCTATGCGTATGTATATATATGTATATATATATATCTAAAATTTGTGAATTTGTTGCTTGAATGTACAAACGTCGTGTATTTGCCCAGATCTAAAAACACTGTCCTATCGATATACCTCAAATGGAAACATCGATATGGTAATCGAGCAACTAATTCGAACTAGCTCCCAGGTTACTGTGCCTATGTTAAGTGGGAAATCAAAAACAGACTTGAGTTCAGTTTTTCCGCTTGCGGAAAACAGGTAAGAGGCGCAAGTCTCCGTGCTATCAGATTGGCCTGTTGTTCTCGATGGCACTTGTTGAGTATTTTCCGTACACATTGTGTATAGATACTTTTCCATTAGTGAATCAATTGCGTTTGTTTTGAATTCGAAATAATAACAATAACACAATGTTAATAGTCACAATGTTTGTTATCAGCGGGTGCTTTTGAATCATGTGGGCGCGCGCGCCTAATTATAATTTCAAAACAAACCAAATTAAAGACACTGATTAATTCTTGTCTGACGTGCGTAGTTGGCGTTGATAAAAAGGCTTTGTATCCTATATACACACACACATACATGTACATGTTTACCATATGTGCGCCTTTTACTATGTAAACATAAGTGTACTTATTACCTGGGCGGCCAATAAGCTAATAGCTGCGGTGCTTTTCGAAATTTTAAACCAAAGGTGTTACTTGCTTAATGCTTCACTTAAGCCGCTCACAATGCATGACACTTAATTGATTAGCGACGCCTTTGCACAATTGGGCCCCACAAACTGTGACCAAGATCTCTCCGTCTTGTTTGTCTAACAGTCACCCACCACCCACAGGGTGGCTCGTGTGTGTACATTCGTATAATAAATTGGAAAATTTTCTAAATCGACATTTTTACGCTGTTTTATTGCAGTTTGACGACTGAAGCGCTTAGCAACACAATTCAACCCCCACCCCAAGGGTCCCGCCTGCGCCTTGATAGTTCCTCTGCACCTGCACTGAAATAATCAATAAAGCAACAGCAGCGGCTGCAACAACAACAGATACACGATGTGGGCTAGTGATAAGCAACAACAGTAAAGGGCAGCCCCGCGGCATATACCCAGTCTCATCTCCAGACAACCCACACAGAGCTCTAAACTTCTCACCCCAAGGCATTAGCAAACAACATAAAAAGTAAAACAAAGTATAAACTATAAATCGAAAGCATTTTTGTGAAAATGTCACGGGAGGAACGTTTGCCAATTGTGGATACAGCAAGCAGCAGTGGCGAGGATGAGGCGAAGCCTGTGGTACGTAGGCGCAGCACAAGGGACACCGAATTGGCTCTGCCCAAGGAGCAAGGGTGCTGTGCTCCCACCAGCAAGCCCCATCGTTTCCTAGCATTACTATTCATGTGCCTGCTGGGATTTGGTCTGTTCACCTATATTGCTAATGATTATTAGCAATTATTAATTGCCCTTTATTGCTTACAGGTTCCTATTTTTGCTATGATAATCCTGGTGCACTGCAGGATGTATTTCAGAAGGAACTCGATCTGAATGCCACCGAATTCACTTTGATCTATTCCATCTATTCGTGGCCAAATATTGTGCTGTGCTTTGTAGGCGGCTTTCTGGTCGATCGTGTCTTTGGTATACGTTTGGGCACAATTATTTACATGCTGATTGTGTTGCTGGGTCAACTGATATTTGCCGCTGGCGGCCTGTTTGGTCACTTTTGGCTAATGATTGTGGGTCGCTTTGTGTTTGGCATCGGTGCCGAGTCCCTGGCCGTCGCCCAGAACAGCTATGCCGTGCTGTGGTTCAAGGGCAAGGAGCTGAACATGGTATTTGGCCTGCAGCTGTCAGTGGCTCGATTTGGTAGCACGGTCAACTTTTGGGTAATGCAACCGCTCTACAATTATGTCTCCGGATTCTATGCTGGGTATACGGGGTTGGGTGTTACACTTTTTCTGGCCGGGCTCACCTGTGTGATGTCGCTGCTGTGCACACTTATCTTGGGTATGTTAGGGAAATAAGATATTTATAATACATATTGTATAACGAATTCCTTTACTGCAGGCTGGATGGATAAGCGCGCCGAACGCATATTGAAGCGCAACACCAATCCAGGCGGCGATATAGCCAAGCTCAGCGATATAATGTCATTCCGACTGGACTTCTGGATGGTATCGGTCGTCTGTGTGGCATATTATGTGGCCATCTTCCCGTTCGTTGCACTCGGCCAGGCCTTTTTCGTATCCACCTTCCATCTGACGCCTGAACAGGCAAATACGGTCAATTCGATTGTGTATTTGATCTCAGCCATTGCGTCGCCTTTGTTTGGCTTTATTATAGATCGTGTGGGTCGCAATGTCAGTTGGGTGTTTGTGGCAACAGTTGCAACGATTGTCGCTCATCTGCTACTCACATTCACCCAAATGAATCCGTACATTGGCATGTCTATCATGGGTCTGTCCTATTCAATGCTGGCTGCCAGTCTCTGGCCCATGGTATCGTTGATTGTGCCCGAATATCAGCTGGGCACTGCCTATGGCTTGTAAGTGGAAATATATATCTCCATATCATCCATATTGATCAATATGTATTTAATTACAGTTGTCAATCAGTGCAAAATCTAGGACTAGCCGTGGTCACCATTGTTGCCGGAGTAATCGTGGACAGTAGTGGCGGCAGTCACTTCTGGCTGCAGCTCTTCTTCATACTGTTCCTAATGAGTGAGTGCTATAATCAAATTGATTGTCTGAGTTGATAGCTAAAGCTATACATATTTCCTAGTTTCCCTGTTGGCTACATGCGTTATCTGGACCTACGATCGCAAGCATCAGGGCAATCTGAATATGTCGCCGGCACAGCGTGCCACCTACCATACTTCCATGTACGTGAATATTGAGTCTAGTTGATCGTATTCAATCTATACATGTTGTATTGGTGTATATTGATTATATATGTATTGTGTGTGTGCATTATATAGATTGGACTTGAAACAATCATTTCACTAATCTGTACAATCTTTTTTTCAAATCGTCAACAAAAGCTTAACACAGCGTGGCACTACGGATCGACGGCCTCTATTGGCCAATTAAATACATGTATATATATTTATATATATTCATACAACATATATATAAATATATATATAAAATATAGATAAATATACCAATGTGATGTTGTTCGCTATCTATAATGTATTTAGCTCTATATGTTTGGCACAAATCCTCCAATACTAGTCGCACAAATTACTATTCGATTTACAATTTAAAACAATCCCCCCACTTTCCTAACATATCAAGAAACTATTGTTATAATTGTGATTGCGATTTTGTTGTAATTTACATATGTATAAATGTATTATGTGCCAGTTGCCAAAGATAAATTATAAATAAAAATATACACACATATCTAGCAAATGGAGCATTCCTTTTATTTGTACAGTCCTTAATTGGCTGGACTAAATTCTTTCGATCCCATGAAGTAAGTAAAAATAAATAATTAGAATTACCTTATATAAAAAATATATACAAAAACTTCACTTTGATAATTATTCAATTTATTTGTATTTGCATGTGTGAACGATTTTCATTTGTCGAAAATATATTTATAATAAATTAAATAAATTAGCTAAAACATAAACAGAAATTCCAAAAATTCATTGGCGTGTTAAATTTTAGAAACCAAAAATAAAGACATAAAAGTTTCCATAACGCATTGGACTAGAGAAAATTCAAAATACAATTCATTTAAATGATATTCATTTCGCAAAAGTGACAAAAATACAACAACAAAATTATTTATTTTTGTTTGTTTTGAGAAAATAGGATGATGATTTTATATGAAAAATGTTTGTTTTGAGAAAATAAAAATCATTAGTTTTTGTTTTGTCTCTTCACTAGTTAAATAAAAATGCATTTGCGTTGATTTTGGCCGTTAATGTTCGAACCGCTTCTCGTTATGCGAATTATGATGAAGTTTTCATCGAACGTTCCATCAATAAGCTGCATTTAATTATCATCATAGTAAGTGTATTAAATATTAGTAAATATTTATCGTTTTTCTTTTTTGTCTTAACTTAAGAGCATCGTTAGATTGAAAGTTGCTTTGATTTAACTTTTCCATTTAAGTCGTCGAAAGTAATTTGTTTTCATTTATAAAGCTCCTAATTTAAGTTAGTAATTATATAATTCATAGATATTTGTTTTTGATTTTTTTGTTTGTTTTGTTTTGTTTTTTGGTCGTTTATAATATTAAGAAATGTACGTGACACGCTAAAGCTAAAAGCAGAGTACAAAAACAGAAAGATAGTTTGTGTAGATAAGGGAAGGTCTGATATTTTATGAGGCCAAATTAAGAAAGATGTGGACTCACTCAGACTCAACTATCTACACAGAAACATTTAGCTATTGTCAAATCTCGTTGATTACATTTTATGCGTTTGTTTTTGTTTTTCTTTTTTCTTCTGTGTTATTCATCCACATTTTCCGTATCGTCGGCGGCCACAATATTTCGTTTGGTGGCACTTTGAATGCTAGCCAGATATTTCTCACCATCGAAGCGCTGGCTCTCATCCTGCAGATCCTGTTCAAAATTGAGATGAGTGATTATCAGAGCACAGATTTTAAAATTAGACATATGAAACTGAAGACATTCTGCTCTTACCTTATCAGTTTAGCAAATGTGTGGGTGTGAGTGTGTATGCGTGTGTGTTGGCGTGGCGTGCTTATGTATGTGTGTGTTTGTTATGGCAGGTGGTTGGTTATCAAATATATGTATGTACAAATAGATAAGGCCAAGCGCTGCGACTTTGCAAGTCATTTTTATTTTACATATATGCATGTATGTATATATACATATATACACATATATATAAATATGTGTATAAATTTGAAATGGGTTATGCTTTGAAAAAACGCTTAAATCTAAGTTATGTTACAGTTAAGGCTAAGTTTTGCAATTGCAGTTGTTATTAGTCTTGTTAAACATTAATTACAATGTGTATGTATATATATGTGTGTGTGTGCGCGAGTTGGTGTTAATATGGGATTGTCTCCGGGCGATACTAAGCGTTGACCGGCAACTTTAAATATATATATTGTATATATAACTCTAGCGAACACTAAATCTGTTTCACAGCCAAAACACAGATTCCTTTCAAAGTTACAAAATTAATTGTTTTTTCATTTTTAAATGTTTTTGTTTAAATAAATGTATTCAACAAAATGTGTATAGAGCCTAAGACTAGCAAATTGTTGCGTTGCTCATTAAATATAATAATACTGAGTATATATCATTGTTGTGGTTTGTTATTCGATCGTATTAAGTTCTATCTGTTCTTTTTTTTCGAGTCAAATTTTATAAGCTATTTAGCGTCTGCTGGGGTTACAAAAAAGCTATAATATAAATAGCTATGTCATGAGATTTATTTCTTTGATGCATAGAAGAGCGATTTAGATTAGCGCACGATTGTTGTTCAGCTCCTCGCTGGAGTACACATCACACATGGCTAGTGAGAACTCGTCGTTCTCGCTATAGCGCTGAAATATAGTCTTGATCTGCGAGTTCTGGTGATTTGGTTGCGGCTGTGGCTGGCTGCGACATTTGCCAGCTGTGGCAGCTGCACCCATTGTGTTCGTTATAATTTGCAATTGTTTGTTATATAATTTTCGATCTGATTCTGAGGATGGCTTGCGATTGTTGTGACTACCGTCTCGTTCGTATAATATTTGCTTGCGTTCGCTTGTGCTATCGAGCATTACAGTTAGAAGCTTTGCTTGCGTTTGCTTGTTAATTACAATGTTTTGATTGCTAGCATTTTGGTGAATATTGATGGGGTCACATTCATTAATGGATTCTTGATTGATTGCTGGCACTCCGTTACTGGCTGTTGATACTGTTGTAGTAGTAGTAGTAGTAGTAGTAGTAGTTGTTGTTAATGATGAATTATGTGCAAGAATGATATCAGCACTTGTCGCAGAAGCTTTCAAGTGCATCTCAACTGGTGGAATTACCTTATTGCGAAGTATCGACGGCACAGTTTCCATCATCTTAACCCACTCAATTGGCAAAGCCCAGGCATGGGGACTTTTCGAATAGTACATCAAATGTTCAATATCATACGAGACGCGTGCTGTAAGTAAAAACACATATAAATAATTTTTCTTTCAACAAGTAAGAAAGCTCTAGTCGAAACTGCTCAGATTATGATTATAACATGGATATGCATGCACTTGCCAAAGCACCAGTTTCTAGTATTTGAAATACGTCTTTTACAAATATGTGGGTGAGGGGGTGGATATAGGGGTGGGGGGTAAATTTTGACAAAAACCGAAATTGTATATAATGCATATAAGTACACATTTAATTTGGAGACTCTAGCTTTAAAGATGTAGGAGATAATTTTATAACTGGTTTTCGATAAGGGTTTTTTTTATCGATAACAAAATAACGGGATGAGTTATCGCGCTGTATATACGGACAATTTAAAAAAAAATTTGAAGGCTCCAGCTCTTATACCTTTTGAAATCGACGTGTTCATACATACGGACAGACGGACGGACGGACGGACAGGGCCAAATCGACTCAGCTCGTCGCCCTGATCAAGAATATATATACTTTGTGGGCTTTGCCACGCCTGTTACATACATTTCAACAAAACCATTATACCCCGATTTCCCATTGAAAATGGGTTCAGGGTATAAAAAGAGGTGCACTTAGGTGTTGCTTCTATCGGGGTATGTATCGCCGCTTCTGATTACTTACAAGTATTCGTCTTTAACCGATTGACCCCGTTGTCTTCTTCAACCTTTTCGCGTGCTGCTTTTGTTTCCGGCGTTGACTCCTTGCGTGAGAAATGACTGCGTCGCGAGCGTGCCAAACCATTCTGACTGCTGCCACCATTGGATGCAGCAGAATCTACAAATACCTCATCATCGCCATCACCATTATTGTTGCCCTGCCCAGCTGCATAGTTCAGTCCAATGCCACTATCGGCCAGCGGCAGCGCGTTGCCCAACATAAACTGCGGTGGTCCTGAGCCGGGCAAAGGAGTAGAAGGCGTTGTAACTGGACTGACCATTGAGGTGCCATCGAAAGCTGCGCCAGCCTCCATTGAGGCCAAGAACTCGGAACTGCTAAAGTAATCATCCAAGACGAGTTTGGCCACCTGTTCGATGTCAAAGATTTGTTCATTCCATCCGAGAGTTAACAAAAGGACAGAATACTTACACGCACTAACTCGCAGCAGTCGCCTGTGATCTTGATGAGATGTTGGCCCACATTGACCGTGAATTTGTATTCACCTACGGAAGCATCGTTTGTGGAATATGAATGCATTAGCAGCTGCTGATTGGGACGTATAACTTTACCGGCAGCAGCTGTTGCCGCCGCAGCCGCATTGGCAACCTGCTGCTGATGGTGGTGATGATGTTGTCCCTGATGCTGTTGTTGCTGCTGCTGATGGTGCTGCGACATTTGGTGCGCCGCAGCTGTGGCAGTCATGAAATTCTGTGCCGAATTGAAGCTCAATCGGTTGGCCAGGCTACTGCTACCGCTAGGCGTGCGCGGTTGCACGGCGACGGCATCATCCGAATTGGAAGAGTTCAACGACGAACAGGAGCCGCCTGCACCACCGGCTGATGGTGCTGGCTCTAGGCGTACCGGTGAAGCATTACGACGTATGGTATCCTCCATCAATTGCTTTGCGTAACTGAGATATGAGTAAATGTTGAGGATAAATATTTGTGAAAAATGGCAAAAATGTAAAACAGTTATTTTTGCAACAATTTAGCATTGCCACATTTTTTAATAAGAAAAAACGGTGGCAACGCCATTTGCAAGAGGAACTTTTTGTTGTTTTAAGCGATAATTTTGCCTAGTTCTTTTTATCGGTAACATCTTTTGATCATTCGATTGTTAGTAGCTGAAAGCTTTTCGATGAAATGTTAAATTGAATGAAAACTTACTTAATTTTATCTTCTGCGGGTCCGGTAATCTGCACCAATCGTTCCTTCGCGCCGGGGTTGACTGCATGAGATACATAAATATTAGTAGAAGAAAAGATAATCCTTAATTATACAATGGTAAATTATTTACATGTATGGTATTTAAATAATTAGCAGACTTTAAACTTAAAAATGAAAATAGCCGAAACTTTGAATTTAACCTAAACGTGCGGGCGATTTTGTGTGTGTGCATTAATATTGTTGATGCATGTCGTTTGTGTGAGTGTGCGTGACGGTAATTGCGTGCAAACTGTGCAGATTTTGAAGTAATAATTCAAAATGGAATTTGGTTAACGATTTTGGACTAGACATTATTAAATGCTTATTAAGCTTAGATGAGATTTTTTCGAAAGTTTTACCTCGTTGAAAAGATATTATAGTTTCGCTAAGTTCCTCGATCATGTGTACACGTCGGCCCTTAATGCCCATAACTATTTTGGGACGATTTGCAAACAGCAGATAGTCAAATATTTATATATAAATGTACTCTTTTCAATGATCAGAGCATCAGACGTAACTGATACTTACCCTTGCCCGAATCGGCGTTCCGTATGACCACCTCATCCTTGCAATAGGTTTTTCCTGGTATCTTAGTGGGCTTGGGAAATTTACCCGAATTACGTATGACTGCACCAGGTGGCAACAACAGATGCTGCTGATTGGGTGAGCCGACCGCAGCAATCGCCGCTGCCTGAGCGGCAGCAAGTGTTGCCGCATTGAAGGCCGCAGCAGCAGCCGAGTCGACGCCAACAAGTGCACCCATGCTGCTGCCGCCGCCGCCGGTGCCGCCAAATGTGGGGGAGGTGCTGAGAAAGGCTTGCTGGTTGCCTACGACGCCTGCAGCATCGTGCTGATATGTTTCAGCGGGTAACTGAAATATTGAAATTCAAAAATCTATTATTTAAAAATCGATTTTTTCTATTTTGGGTTTATTGTCCACCTCAATACTGGACACTTGCTGCTTGGACTTGTAGTAGGCAATTGTGTCTTTGTCTTCCCAGCTATTGGCGCGTAATTCAATCAGTTCGAGCAGCTTGAGCCGTGTCATTATGTTCAGACGTTCGTCCAGCGAAGCATTGCGAAACACAACGAATGCACGATCCAGCGTATCCTTGGACACGGCCTCCAGCTGCGGCCCATGGACACGCAAATTATGCAACAGCAATGTTATCGATTCGGTTGTCGCATTGCACGACTGCAGACCTACAGTAACATTGTCAATCAACTGTATCAACTCCTCAATTACAAGGTAGCTGTTCTTCAGTGATGAGCGCGATTGTGTCTTCAGCGGACGCGGCGTCTCAATGTTTTTCACCGCCCTACCCAGCTGTGTGTGCGCCATGTTGCCCCTGTTTTCACTTTTTTCTATCTTAGCCCAGTTTCGATTAGTGGCTATTATTGTTGGCTTAAAAGTTCTGTTTTCTTATCTCCGGGTCGTTGTTTTGTTTTTTTTTTTTTAAGTTCGTTCGTTTGCTTATTGTTGATGTCTGCGTGGGTTGCAAAAATTGTGTGAAAGAAGTCGTAGAAGCGTTTCCGCACCTCCCCCTGCAAAACAAGATGTAGAAACGTGAACCAAGCGTATATATTGATTAACTAAAAGGGAACAGTGGAACTATTATCCACTTTATGTTTAAATTTCATTTTTTTTATATCAAAGTTTTAAATTAAACTTATCAACAAATCGAACTTGCTTTTGTTAATATTGACTGTTACAAAAATTTGCTCCTAGCGGCTTCATTCAGAAACTGCGACGCAAGTGCGCAAATATAATTTATCTACATTCATACATATACATAATGTATGCACTGTGTATATCATTTGCAACTGTGATAAGAAACTTAAGGTTGAAACTGATAAAAAAAATTAGATTTATGATAGTTTTCAGTGCTGCTCACTGTAGCTAGCTATAATCAAGAAGAGTGCTTTAAGCATATATATTTATCGTTAGCAATGAAAGGCGCCACCATGAATCACTTACGAATTATAATTGCGCACACAAATTCCAAAAGCGTTTGCATAAAACGGGCACAATGGCCATTTGTATACTTCAGTATGAGTATGTGCATGTGTGTGCGTTCGGCATTTAAGTTTCATTAACAAAAAATACGCGGAACGCATTTACCGTTGCCGCGGCTAATTGTTCCTAAGTTGCGTTTTTATGCTGCGACGCAGATTCAAAGATTCTGGTTTTAAATAGCATTCAGAAATATTACAAGAGCTAAAAAGAAACTGTCAGTGCGCGCAGCGATCTTGCCCACTTATTGAATCATATGTCGAGAATAGCAACAACAAATATGAATGTAGCAGCGACAGCGCGACGTTGACGCTGGCAGCGCTGCTTGCGTAGCCTGGGGCGTAGGGCAAGGCGTGTGCCTTTTACGCACGATGTTAACAAGAGCACTTTGCATTCTAACTTACACACAATTTGTTTTAGTTAAGTAATTGTGCGTATTTAAAGCACATTTTCCACCGATTTTTGGTCAAAATTAAGTAATAATATGTATGTGCCAACGCTAGTCGCTGGTTGGAAACTACGCGTAGACTGCGCAGCAGTGCTTTACTTGCAGCTGCACCTTTGGGGCACTATGCCGAAGAATGATTGAACAGAAAACTGTCGCGCTAAATAAATACGAGAATTAAACTACTTTTAAGCAGTGTATATCACTCTGGTCTGATCTAATTTAATGAAATAGCTATGTGAAAGCTTACCAAAAAATCTCAGCGACTACTAGATCTGCAAAACAGTCATCGGTACTATCGATAGCGATTGCAAATTTTAGTATTTTCGCTAGGTATCAATGGAGTGGCGATTCATTGTTTAATTAAAATTTTTTATTTATTTTATAAGCATAGACATTTGCTGAAATTTTACCATATTACGTAATTTTGATTGTGCTTTTATGCTTATTTTTATTGTTGAATTGCAAAATTCCTGCAAACTTTTATATAGTTTTTATATAGAATATCGATAGCAAATAATTTTTTTACTATTCTGAAATTAGAACAGTCGATAGTACAATATAGAGCTGCCACTTTGTCGTATTTTATTTTTCAGTAGCCTTATTATAGCAGGGTGGCTCAGAAGCCCTGGCGAATCGTAGAAGTGGAATATCGGTCGTGTTCCACAAATTTTTCTGAAAACTCTCGTTTGCTCTGCTGATTTTCAGTTATTTGTTGTGTAAATATCGACACAAATAATGGCTGAAAACTCAGCCAAAGAGGATGCGACGCCGCCACAAGCGGTGAAAAATGATAGCGTCAAGGACAGTGATGCAAAACCTCTGCGAATGTCTTTTGCCGATTGGAAGAAGAGTAGAGAGCCCAAGGAGCAGCCAGGGGATGCTCAGGCAACTCGCAACAGTCGCAAGACGCATAAGATTGACAACAGACCACAGGGCAATAATCGCATTTACAATAATAATCACAACAACAATATCAATAACATCAACAATTCGTTTCCGCCTCTAAGCCGACCACCGCCTTTACCCTTTCCCTTGATGTCCATGGGTTTTGGTAACTTTGGTCACGGACACGGACCCGGTCCATGCGGGCCACCGCCAATGATGCCTTCCGGATGTAATATGGGCAACATGGGTAATATGGGAAATATGGGTCCAGGACCAGGCCCGCGCAACCATCGACCCTTACAGCCACCACCTTTTTGGGAGGACATGATGTCGCCACAACATCGACCACCACCAATACAACCACCCATGCCCAAGTGTCCCAGCTCATGGAATCTTGTGCCCAGGGATAAACAGCGGCAAAACAAACAAAACCAGAACCAAAACAGTCAGCCCAACAAGAAATACAAAGCCAACACCAACAACAAGAACAGCAACAGCAACAACAATAGCAGCAGCAGTAATAATACCAACAGTACTACAAACAATGCATTGTTAGATGCGGCATTGATGCCACCACCACCACCACCACCACCGGGAGGCAGCTGCAACAGTACTAACAGCTCCTCCAACAACTCCTCAACATCGAATAAAATTGTGAAGAAGAAAAAATGTGGCGGGACTTTTGTGCAAATTGATGGTAAATGGATACAGCGACCTGAGGCGCCTCCACCACTAGAAGAAGCGCCGCCGGGCACCAAAGAAGATCGCCAGCGTCAGTGGCGCGAATACCGACAGGCGATGAAACCATTCAAGAATCGTGAATTCCATAATTGGAAACGTACTGTGCAACGTCTCAGCAAATTGCCGCGCGATCAGCTGGACGAGAGGCAATTGGAACGGTTACAAAAGGCAGAGGAATATATTGGAGCACATAAAGCCATGCTAACCATCAAGCATGCCGAACAGTGGGTGCAGCAATCTAACCGAAAAATAGAAGCGTCCGGAGGCAATGTGCAGGCTCAGGTGTTTGTGCGAAAGCCGGTGAATCCCACATGGCAAAAGAACAATGATCAGAATACACTTCATCGGGGACCGCCGCCCGTACGAAAACAAGTCTTTGGCACTGGGCGTGCTATTAAAGGTGGCATTGGTGGCGATGTGGCAAGCGTGCCAAACAATCCAACGAGGCCCATTGTGGGCCAGTTTCCGGCGCAGTCCGGACCGCCAATTGGCGGCAACAGCGGTTACTTTGGGTACAATAGCCATCCCTATGTACAGGACACGGACAGCAACAATAGCAGTGGCATCGGCAGCGGGGTCAACAGCAGTGCCACTAGCTCCTTTTACGCTAATTACACAAACAGCTTTATCAAAGGTGGCACCCTACTGCCACCCTAGAAGGCTGCAAGAACGCTGTCGTGGAGCGAGAGATACACTTAGGTTATAATATAATTCTATTAATAATTATCATAAGCAATGTCATCACGATGTCATTTAGGAGCCTGTGCTATTCATGTAAAAAGAAATTAATAAATTATTAACTTATACCATGGCTTGCTTGACTCTACAGTTTGAGTCCTAAACAAAAATCAAGTTATCCAACTGTTTGGATACAAAGCCTGTTGGCTTTTTAAAATATTTAAGTATGTTGCAAATAGATTGGACGGATTGAAAAACGCTTCGAATTACATTTATATCATATATGCTGCCATAAATAACCATCGTTATGAAATTGACTTCATTTATACAAATCTTGTTTTTTAACACAATATGTATTATATAGATTATGTTTCAACAAGTACATATAAATGTATATCATTAGATTAGCCTGATTTGCCTTTGCTCGAGCGACTGCGACTGCTCTTGAACTGTGTCTCATCGAGCGGAGGCAGACCTAAGAGTTCTCGTCGCTTGCGTTTGCCACGCCAAATGGCCTCCTTGAATAGATTGCAGTAGAGCTCTACGGCGGCGGGTGAATCATCGTTGCCAGGCACTGGATACGTGATTAGATTGGGATTGCAATTGCTGTCCACGATGCCAATGGTGGGTATGGCCATTTTGGCTGAATCGCGCACAGCCGTATGTTGTGCCATTACATTGTTTTGTGTATTAAGGAAGATACACAGATCCGGCAGCCGAGTAACTGCATCAAACTGAACATTGGCATTTGTAAAGATTCCGCCACGCCAAAACCGCGTGTGCGAGAATTCGCCGGCCTCCATGGCCTTCTTTTCAACTAGATGGGCATTTATCGCATTGCGATTGAAGAACAATATAATACCATCTCGGAAAGCAATGTGGGCCGCGAAATTGAGTGCATCACGCAAATGGGAAGCCGTCTTGTCCAGATCGAAGATCAAGTGACCTAATCGACTGCCATATATATATGGCCGCATGCGATCGTCGAGTGAGCCCTCCTTGTGACCATAGTGCACACGCGCATTGAACAAATCCCGCACAGTAAACAAATTATTCACTTGGAAGTAATCTGGGTGTTTGAGGATGCGTTGTTCAATGACGTCAATGTCCTCTGGTTCGGCAGGTGTCGGCGCCTGGGCAGCCTGTGTGTTTTGTAGGCGTGCCGGCACCGCGTACAGCTGACTAAGGCGTGGCACTATACATACGAAGAATATGTGATTAATATTTATAAATCTTTTAATTTAGAAACTTACAGTTATTAAAAGTCTTCCGAAACATTTTTCACGCACGCCGCAGGCCGCTGTTTTCATAACATGCAACTAGTGTGACCGTAGACGTACAAACATAAAATATCCAAATATAGCAAGTTATCGATAGCAGTCAATGATTGTTGACCATAAAAGTTCCAAGATTGTCATTGCAATGTTTATGTTTAGAGTACTGCAAAACTAAAACGAAAACAATATGGAAATTGAAAAGACGCCCCCCAATGTGGCCACATCCGACACGAATTCCACATGTGAGTACATGGATGCCGAAGGTGAGCCGGAAACGGACGCGGATCTCAGCGCAAGCGATCTCTACCAGGAGGCGGTACACGGTGCCGAGGCCGAACAGCAGGGCCATAGTATTATCTCGGTGCTGCGCGATGAGCTGGTTCCTCAAACACGTAACAATTTGAGCCCAGACTCGGAAACAGCCGCAACAGCGGGACAATCAAAAGACTTGGCCGCCTCCGTAGAGTCGCTAGCGCTGAGCACCTCCACCAGTGCCAAGACCGAGGACAGCGGCAGCACGAACGCCCTTGACGACGACACATACGATTATCAGCACGACAGCGTGTGGCGTGGACAAAAGAAACACATCTTCATACTGAGCGAAGCGGGTAAGCCCATTTACTCACTTCACGGCAACGAGGATAAGCTGGCCACGCTCTTTGGCGTCATTCAAGCACTGGTCAGTTTTGTGCAGCTCGGCCAGGATGCAATTACTTCCATACATGCAGGCAGCATTAAGTTCGCCTTCATGCAGCGCAACTCCCTCATCCTAGTGGCGGCTTCCCGCACGAACATGAGCGTGCAACAGCTGCAGCTGCAACTGAGGTGGGTGTTATGCTATGATATATGGAAATAGTATTCCCTAGTCTATTACAATCGATTCCAGTTACTTGATAATAATTCATAATTCTATATTCTTGCAGCGATGTCTACTATCAAATACTCTCTACGCTTACCTATTCACACATGTCCAAGATCTTTGAGAAGCGGAAAAACTTTGATCTGCGCCGCTTACTTTCCGGCAGCGAGCGATTGATCTTCAATCTGTTGGCCAATGATAGCAGCCATGCCAAGGGTAAATTCTTAATGCAAATTTAAATTCGTTCTATATATAATTGTCATTTATTGCTTACAGTTACGAACAACATTTTTACCTTTTTGACCAATTCGATACGAGTCTTTCCGCTGCCCACAGCGGTGCGTTCCAATATTGTTAGCGCTATACAGAGCAACTGTTCCAAAATCAAGAATCTAGTGTTTGCGGTGCTCATAGCCAACAACAGGTTGATCACATTGGTGCGTTTAAAGAAATACTCTATACATCCGGCGGATCTGCGTATAATATTCAATCTGATCGAGTGCTCCGAGTCGTTTAAGAACTCTGAGAATTGGACGCCCATTTGCCTGCCTAAGTTCGATATGAATGGCTATTTACATGCGCATGTTTCGTATTTGGCTGACGATTGCCCAGCGTGCCTGTTGCTCATGTCCGTGGATCGGGATGCATTTCACACTCTATCAGAGGCCAAGGAACGCATCACAGAGAAGCTACGCCGCAGTCTGTGCCTGCAGGCAATTAACGACGAGCTAAAGCAACCCCACAATGTCAAACTGTATCAGCAGGTGCAAAGCGTACCAGAGCTGCGACATTTTCTTTACAAGCCAAAGGCAACGGCCCAGCTCCTCTGTCCCATGCTCAAGCATCCGTACAAATCGCTGGCCGAATTCGAACGTCTGGAAGCTATTTA